ATATATATATATATATATATAATAATATATATATATAATATATATATATATATATATATATATATATATATATATATATATATATATATATATTCATATGTATGTATATAATATATATATATATATATATATATATCAAATATATATATATATATGTATTATTATATATATATTCATATTTACATATATTATATACATATCATATATATATATATATAATATAATATTATAATATATATATATATACATATATATTTACATAAATATATATTATATACATATATTATATCTCAATATATAAATAAATAAATAAATAATAAATAAATATATAAATATATAATATATATATATATATATATATTATATATATATATATATATATATATATATATATATATATATATATATACAACCACACACACATACGGGGTGATAACATCAGTAATGAGAGTTTGCCGGTAAAAGGCTTATTGAGTTAGAAGACCAACAATATTCAGCTATCTGGTTAATCAAGCCAATTAATTTATGTCAGTCAATCACAGACACACACACTTCTCTTTTTGATCTTATTGACATTATTTACTCTCCTTTTTATGTGCAAACCTTTTCAGCAGCTTTCATCATTACCAATCTTACTTCTAATATCGTCATTATCACTGTTTCTGCGAATATTCTTCTCATTAATATATTTACGAGTATCATATAATAATCCCGTTGGCGTTACTGTTAATCATCTAATTATTCAGTCAATTGTTAATTATTGTTAATTACTGAATATAATTGGTACCATTCGTACCGTCACTATGAATAAATTCATATGTATTCTTTATTAGCTGTCTCTCTCTGACATAACAAAAATTACCATCAATATTTACAACCTTTTCATAGCTTCTGTTAAAATGGCATCAATATCAGTGTTAAGAATTACTGGCATATATAATATATATATATATATAATATATATATATATATATATATATATAATATAATATTTTTATAAATGTTACCTTCATCATCAATATTACTAAAGTGATTATTGCTATCCTCTTTACTACTGTAATTATCATTATCATCATTTTCATAATCACCCTTACTATCACTTCACTTATCACCTTCGCCTAATTATTACCATTAAATCAATCATTTTTATCCTCATTATCACCAGTGACATGATCGCGCTCGTTATAATTAACCATCATCTTTAATTCTAATCACCAATATCACCCATACCATTATCACCACTTCATTCAAAAATCATTATTTCTTAAAGATATCGTTTAACATTATCTCTGGAACGGTTAATGCGAGCCTCGGATAACACGACGAAATTACTTGTATTATCATTAAAGGTCGATAATTAATTTCAAAAGAAAAAAATGATGGTGGAAGAGAGCATTAGCGGAACTAGGGGTGTTGGGGGGAGGCCTCTTAAGGAGTTCAGAAAGTTGTTAGGAGTAATTTTGATGGTGGTGGTGGGGTGGTGGTGATAATAATGATGATAATTATGATAATGATAATGATAATGGCAATAATTTCGACAGTAATGATGGTAATAATGATGATACATAAAAATTATATAAAAAAAAACACAAACAAAAAGGAAAGCAATAAATAACGAGCACGCCATAAAGACAAAGCAAGAATATCCATGACACATGCATGACAGGACGACAAACAAACATACAACCAAAGCCTGGATTAAAGACCGCTTCCGGCATCGCCAGAGCATAAGCACAAAGACACAAGGAGGGGAATTCCCGCAGGCGACGCAATAGACTTTGTTGCCATGGAAACCGCCCGAGAGAAACAAAGGCCGCTTTCGTAAAACCCAAAGTTTTTAAAATTCAAAACGTTAACGTTTGGCTTCCCATTATGCCTAGTAATTTCGAAGTACATGTATAAACACAAACACAACACGCACACACACACATACATAGACATATATTATATATATATATATATATATATATATATATATATATATATATATATATATATATATATACATGTGCATGCACATATGTACACACACACACACACACACAAAGAGAGAGAGAGAGAGAGAGAGAGAGAGAGAGAGAGAGAGAGAGAGAGAGAGAGAGAGAGAGAGAGAGAGAGAGAGAGAGAGAGAGAGAGAGAGACATGGATAGATAGATAAACAGAGAAAAAAAAGAAGAGAGAGAGAGAGAGAAAGAAAGAGTCAGAGACATGGATAGATAGATAAAGAAGAAAAAAAGAGAAAAAACATAGAGAGAGACAAGAAAGAAACAGCCAACAAACAGACACAGACACTCGAAAGAACCCCCCAAAAAAAAGAGGACAAAAAAAAAAGTCCTTATACTCAACCACAAGGTAACGAGAGACGAACAACCTGCCATTCGAGCAGAACATCTTTCGCTCGTCATTCAGAACCCACATTACTTATTTTTCCCCGATTCCTCTTTTTTGCATCCTGGCAGTGAGAGAGTGACCCGCAAGACACCCATTTGTCTATTCGCGGAACTTACAATTCGGCTTTCTGTCTGTGTCGCGGGTTGGGGGCTGGTAGGGCATCCGGCTGTGATAGAGCGTGACCGTACTTAGGAAGGGGATGCGAGGAAAGGAGGAGGAGGAAGGAGGAGGGAGAGGACGGAGGAAGAGGAAGAGGAGGAGGAGGAGAGGAGGAGGAGGAGGGAGGAGGAGGAGGAGGAGGAGGAGAGGAGGAGGAGGAGGAGGAGGAGGAGAGGAGGAGGAGGGAGAGGAGGAGGAGGAAGAGGAGGAGGGAGGAGAAGGAGGAGGAGGAGGAGGAGGAGCGAGGGGAGGAGGAGAGGAGAAGGAGAGAGAGAGGAAGGAGAAGGAGGAGAAGGAGAAGAAGAAGAAGAGAGAAGAAGAAGAAAAGGAGAAAGGAGGAGAAGAAGAAGGAGAAAGAAGAAGAAAGGAGAAGAGGAAAAGGAGGAGAAGAAGTTGGCGGAGGAGAAGAAGGGTAAAACTATTTATTCTTTATACCAAGTTCACTATATTCTTCAAAGGTAATTCTAGAGATGGAATGCTTGTTTTTCCCATATTTCCCCCCTATCCCCCTACGATTTTGGAGACATGTGGGGATTTTTTTTTTTTTTTTGGGGGGGGGGGGGGGGGGAGCAAACAGGCCCCACACAAGCTTCGATTTGACAACTGTAAATAAACATTTTTCGTAAAGGCGGGCCAAACTTCCCACAAAATTACATTTCTAAGATTATTTGGTCAATAAAAACGTGCAAAAATGAAAAAAACTGAGCCAAGATTCACATTTCACATAATAATGAAAGTGACAAAGGAAAAACCTGAGACAAGATTTGGCCTCAGAAGATTCGACAAGGCGTTGCGCGAATGAACCACAGCCTAAGCAAATAAACTAATAAAAAGATAGCCGTACGAACCAAAAACCTTCCTAACCCGGGGGCTACACCCCCGAACCTCCCTACGATCGCCGTACTTCCCTAGCCAGTGATAACCAAAACTAAAAAGGGATAAATACCTGATTTAATCAGCGACAGAATGGGTCATGCTCTAAAGAAGCGTTGTTTAATATCAAATTTGCACTGTTGCTCGCACTTCGGGCACTCGAATCCATGGTCCTGCACCAATCCAGTGTTTCCTTTTATTCTCGCATGGTTTCGTGTTATAAATCATACCACTGACAAACCATTAAACCGGCTCATTATACTCTCGGCGGCAGTTCGAAAACCACGCGCGACCCAATGACAATGGTGTATCACTGCGCCATACACAACAGATTTTGAAGAGCGCAAAATGTGAATAGGCTAGAGAAATTAATTCAGTGAATGAGTAAGATGGTGTTTTATAACGTTTGGAGAGTGTGTATCGAAAATCAACGTGAAATTACGCGTAAATGTTTATCAAACGATAGATAGTAGCACGTACTACTTTCTTGAGCGCCATCTTCTGAGTTACATGGTTTGTTTACATTGACTTGGCCGACAAGCGAAGAAGGGAACTTTGTCTTCGAGTGACAAATTTCGGCATCTTTATTTTAATATTATAATGTAATTAAGTCTTTTCGCGCTTTAAATTTCACTTCCTCGATTAGGCTGCATGTTGTTCTTCCATTTTACTATCATCTCATGTTTGTTTAATCAAATTCCATATCCTTTTTATTTACCCTTTCAGTTTTTCTCGTTTGCTACTTGGCGATGTATTTTCAGCCTTTGATGTTAATGAAAGGAAGGACTAAAGTGTGGCACAGGATATGGAAGGCAGAAGAGGGAAAAAAAGGTTGTCAGACTTAAATAAATGTTATATAATATATTTTTTTTTTTTTCATACACTAATATGATACATATACGTATATATGCATAGATCATATACATAGACATACAAAACGTACGTAACAGACACACACACACACAACACAGTCACAACATATATATAT